TATTTCGGCGAGAAAAATTCAACAAGTAAATCCAATCTACGACTCATTACAATTTATACGAATGATAAATTTCAACAAGAAATTAAGCAAATAGTAACAATTCTAAAATGGAAAAATTGACACTATAATAACAAATTCTGATTAAATAAACCAATTCTGTGCATATTGGTAATGATTTATCCTCCAGATTTAAATTAAATTACAGCATATTCGCATATACAAGGTGTCCCGTTAACATATTTGGTATTATTTCAGCCTCAATAACGTCCACCTGTCGTTGTTTACACAACAGTATATAAGAAGTATTTCATTTTTTGTCCTTTCATTAGTAGTGGGGTTTTGAAAATTTTGCAGAGCTTTAAACAAACCCTACAAAGAGAATTAATATCAATACCCAGAAATGAAATAAAACCTATTACTTAAATCTGCACCAAAGCCTTGCAAATCAAATTGCACCCCCAAGCGTCATTTATCGTGAAAATACAATACACTCATGATATAATATAAAAGTAGCGAAAATGCTTTCATCTTTACATCAAAAGCGAGGGCATATCTGATAATAATAACGAGCGTTTCATCTCAAATCTCATTCTTATTTCGTACTCCGTTATTTTTCTGCGTTATTAAGAGTCTTCTGTACCCACTGCACCCAATGTAAATTTCCATAAGAGCGCCCGCCATAAAAACTCTAGTTGTTTTTCAAAAAACAATTTTTTTTTTAACTATTTTATAAATTTAGACCTTTATCTACAAAATGTTCGGACTATTTTTTTTTAAAGTGTATAGCAACTGAATACCGATTGTTTAAAGATTAGATGTTTCGCACCGATTATTGCGCTGAGCTGATCTGTTTTATTTTTTTACTCTCGATCAAGACGATTTATGGAAAAAGTAAACCGACAGTTTTTTAGATAAGTTACTTCTAAACATAACCCCAAAAAATGAAATCATAATTTTTGTAAATAAAGTCTGTATCTTGGCGGGCGGTAAATCAACAATTTGAGTGTAATAAAGTGGCGCCGCTGCACAGTGTCGATGGGAACTAACTAAGGACCAAGACAGGAGTTGACAAAGCAAGAAATTCATCTTATCTCTTGCAGCTATAATCATCTATACACTAAAATGCAAAAAAGTTGCGCTTAGGTAAAGAAGACTCTTAATGAGGTTTTCTTAGTGAATAGAAGCTTCGGCGCACATGACATTCTAACGGATTAAATTCATCACGTTTTAAATTTAACGCTATCTCAAATCTAGATCTATGTAAATTGGGTCATACGTTACTTTTTAATGATTTTTACAACCTCTTACCCACTAGAGCAGTAGGGAAAAACGTTCCTTTTTAATTAATCCTTTAAGTTTAATTAAAAGGGCAAGGAATAAAAGAGGCGAGTGAGTTATAAACCTGTGGTTAAATGAAACAGGCCGCACGAGCACAGAATTTATTTTCAATTTTAAAGGTCAAAACATTTAAACTGAAGAGATGTGTAGGTACTTATTTTATTATTTACACAATTTACAATCCCCGTCGTCCTTACATATTCACTGAGCCACCGAGACAAATGCTTCTGCATCAGCACTCCCTATTTTCCAACTTAACTTCCTGTTACCAGACTGTAATTCAAAGAATAAATGTAGCAATGTATCTTTTAAAATGTTTTATGATTGAAATGAAGGATGAACCGAAAATCTTGTGTTTTTTTAGTCAATTGTAAATCGATGAGAGTATACTAACATCAAGCTTTAACGAAGTGGGTGGGATATAATTAGCCAACATATAATTGAGTTTTGCCGTATCTCTTACAGAAACGTACGCTCAGAATTCAAAGTAAAGAGGCTATAAAAGGGAAGCATGTAATACGCGTACTTTATAACAAAGAACGTACACGAATTTTTGTAAAAATCGCACTTATTGTTAATGTAGTTCATATTTTTTCACTGAACGGTAAATCCCCTAGAATACATACAACTCGGTAGGTATTATGGTTGGAAATTATTCATAGAGTGCTGTAGATCAAACTCATAGATTTTAAGGGTAAAACACAACGTATATCTGTAGTTTTTGAAACTCTCGCATTCGGCGTTTTTACTGTTAGCACAATCGATCCCCTGGGATGCATACTAACTATGGATTTCTTCATGCATTTATATTGTGATGCTCTCAAGCTAAAAATTATACTTAAATTTATTATTTGCTTGTGTATATTCCCCTTTTATCGTTTCCCTTTATCGTCGTGTATAATTTATTTTATAGCAGAAGCCATATAAATCATTGTGAAGCTTCTGACAATTCTGAATTTAATTTAGACTTCAAAAATAGCAAGCTTAGGTTCTGCCGCTGCGGTCGTTTCCATAGAAACAACGTTGTCATATGTTCTAAACTTCATTTTAAATCCTGCTCCGCGTCCCATGTGAAGTAAGAATGACAGATGTCATCTGTATCACTTTATCTACCCTTGCTTTATGCTGTATGCACGTTGGAATTATAAAGATCCAGAGTGACAGCCTTCCCCTTAAAATTCTCTTATGATTTTAGAACCTTTTTGTAAGTTTGTAAGATTACAAGGGGGCTCTAGAAAGATTAAGATCTTCTCTGAAAAGGAACTTAGTAATCTCTAAAACCTTATTAAAATTAAAAGAATATCCCTTCAATCTGCTAGAGTTTTCGTAGAATCTTCTTAGGACCTGGAAGATTGTCGAAAGTCTTTTTAGTAGGAATTTTTTTAAATTGGAATTCACCTAGGAATGTCAGTTAATCCCATACTGTCTTGTAATTGTTGAGATAACAAACGCAACTGAATGGTGCAATTTTTGACGACTTCTGTCAGAAAACAGGGCCGTATACCGGCCCCGAAATTCGGACGAAGGGTTGGTTTATGCCGATGTCACCTTCGGCTCGCTTAGCTCGGTATGAACTTTGTGTTTTCTGACCGAAACCGTACAACACGGTCCAGAATTTCGGGCTAGAGGTTGGTTATGCCGATCTCCATGTTTTTCACCTGACCAGTTATATGTATATCGTTTGTGCCCGTGTTGGAAAACCTTCAACATTATTTATTTACGCGCCGGAAAACAAAACTGTACCAATGTTGCGTATCAAAAATCATTACAATGAACACTATGTTTTTGAAATAATTGTTTCTTATTATTCATTCCAGTTCCAATTTAATATTCTAAAGACATCCGGCCAACTAGTACTTTAGACAGTTAAAAAAACAATTAAAGTAACTTGCAGATATCGCTGGAATCGCTGTTTTTCCTTAGGTTAGAAATGGTAAGCCCCTCCAAGAAAAATTGAAAACTTGATCGCTTTCGAGGTGATCCAGCTAAACTTTAGTGACTAGCCCCAGTAAAATTGCGTGTATCAATATTCAGATTCAGATATTCAGGATAATGTAACTTGTATTTACCTCGATCGCATTCAACACCAAGAAACAAAAACAATTAATTCTTTGGCAATGTGAGAAAAGGACCAAACCTCACTGTATTACAATCGACAAAATAAAAACTTGAAAATCAACGAACAACTAAGGGAAGAGTTCTGTAAAATCGACACACTGGTCCTTGGAAGAATCTATTCCGTCTAGCAAGGTGACCTTCTCATCAACCTCGAAACGTATGAATTGACAATTTGTCCGCGGGAAATCTTCTTCAATTTTGCGTCCACCACATGACATTTAGGGATCCACGGCACGGGAAGTTTTAGAATGTTTAACCTCAGAGGTAATTGTGAAACTATTTTTGCAATGCAAATGGGCATCTTGCTGTGTTAGTCAACCTTCGAAATTCGAACGGTAGCATTTATAAATATTAAATGGGGTAAACAGTGAATAATTAATGCCGTTGCGCAGTAAAGCGACTTCTTAAAGTTGAAAGTACATTCCGTTACTACAGGATCTAATAGAAAGGGTAGATATAGGTTATTCACCTTTTCCCTTTAACATTCTTCCAGGTGGGCATTCTTGATTGAATGACAAATTCACATGAGATTGAGGTCTACTACAGCCATATCGATCACTTTGTGTTTTTCCACTCGAACGTTCTTTTACTACAAGTGGACGTTCAACAAGCGCGTTATTGTTAAGCCCTACCATCTTTCAAAGACATACTGGATGCTGAAGTGAAGGGTCTCTTGTAAAATTTTTACTTCGACAAACCAAACCTTAACGCTGTTGTCGTTTTAGATTACATGCGTTAGGATTCCGGTCGAGTTGACCCTTCGGTCCATTTTATTTAATTAGCAACGAACTTGATCGCGCTAATTGAATTTGTCAACTCGACTAAGTGTCTAAAATAACAAAATGTTTACGCAAGATTAAACTTTCAGACGAATCGATTCTGTGAGATGGAAACTTTTATGTAAAGTACGATAATTAGTATGTTTGCTCTAATGGAAACTTACTTTTCATTTACTATATTAATCTCGTTTATTAGGCGAAGTTTCACTTTGTAAACGATTTAAATTAGAAAGACATCCGAACTTCTATTAAACAAAAAACTTCCTAATTAAGTAGGAAAATTAATTATTACTACATATAGAAATTGAAATACTTAATTTAATTGAGCTCTAAATATATTCGTTTTTGTCTTTGTACCGGGTGACCCAATAAGACTGTTCCTCGGCCATACCTCGGGAACCGTTCGTCGTATAACTTAGGGGTAAACAAAATTATTGTGTAAATCGGTCATGAAGAATCGCTGGAAAATATTTTTTAATTCTAAAAATGACCACCAGAGGGCGTAACTGCCATCTTAAATTTTAAAATTGCACGTACAAAAAATTAAATACAGAAGATTTCTGTATTTTTCCAACTAATACCTAAGGTTTTCTGGGGCCTGTAATCTATTTCCGTATTATTTACCTTAAAAAATCCTGTACTGTCGTATTGTTCATCCTTGGCCCTAAGCGATTATTGCAAAGCACGTTTGAGTAACGCATAGAACATGTTTTGCAAGTCAATCGCGTGTTTATAACCATATACTAGTGGAATTTTCTTTTACAGATTATGCTCAAGTTGAAGATGCGTACTATATTTTTTTGAAAATGAACACAGTGTTAAAAAACAAAAGTGAGAATGTGCTCAAAAGGACGAATATGCAATCACCGGTCGTCTCAATGTTTAACTTCACTAAGAGACTTTCGCAAATAGTTTTTCTTCGCGCGTCAAGTACTTTCCAATTGTTTTTATTTAAAGAAAAAGAGATGAATGTGGTTTCGGGCAACGAATTAATTAAATTAATTTTTAAACATATCGCTTTTCAACACGCTTATGTCCATTAGTGTCTTAAAAATTGTGCAGGGTGAAACGGTATCTGTTAATTGTTAATACTTAAGTAACTTTAATATGAGCGAAACGGTGCACTATATGATGGAAGGAGGTGTATCTGGTACGATGGCGCCGGCTATAACTGAACAGCCGTATGATGGCAACATGGATTACATCATCAGTGATTACATGGAAAGGCTGAGTACGAGGCTTAATATACTTGAGGCCGAATTGAAGTACGCGTGGAGAGCTTTGGATTTGCTCTCGCAGGAGTATATTAAAATGTGGGAGCGTTTGGAGAAACTTGAGGGCCTATTGTACGAACAGCAAAGTGTCATTGCCCAGTTACTAGATTTTTATACAACCGTAGGCGTTAGCGAGGGGCAGGGTATCAACGATCAAAATATGATCCTCGACGGAAAACTGGGACAACTGGAGGTCATACGGGAAATTTTGGGCAACGGAACTGTTGAAGATGGCCTAGAGGAAGGAGTCGATGTAACACGTACCTCTAATCACCATCCGACTAGCATGATAGAAGAATTAGAACTGGAATTAGGTATGGACGAAATGAGAGCGCCAGACGAGGCATTCTATAGAAGTCTAAACCAAGCGTATAGAGAAGACTTGGTGGGATGTGACACCTCCAGACCTCCGTCTCATTTAGGTATGATTTGGGAAGAAGCAGAAGACAGCGAAGATGTGAACATAGGGCGAGACGAACTCAAGCAATTGGAGAACGCAGCGAGGATTGTTGAAAGTCAAGAAGTGTTCAGTGCAATGGACTATAAAGATTATCGCGGTAACACGCCGTGCGTTAGCGAACAAGACTTAGCTCAATTATCTCGAATCAGTACAATAGATCAGTTAGCTATGGAAAAACTGAACGAATTAGATAGGTTAAGTAGTAAAATTCAACAAGACTCCATCAATATTAAGCATCTTCAGAGTAAACTCTATGAAGATGACGCAAACGAAATAACCCAAGAGAATGCGGCACCCGAGTTTCAAAAAATCTTCCCCGAAAGTGATGTGTGGGGCTACTCCGGTCAGTTGAGCACCACAAACCGCCCCAGTTCTCGTTTGTCCTTATCTGATAGCGTGGTGGGAACAGACAATGAAGTTGCAGAAACCTTAGCTGGTGGTATTCGATCGCCCAGTTCTCCTCGCCGAAGGCATACCGACGTAACAACATGCAGTGCGCCTTACACGACTGTCACGGGAAGACTTGCGTACAGCACAGCGGTACAGAATGCCGAAGCGGCTGCGGCCGCAAATTCAGTTTCGAAAAACCCGTTTTACAGCGCAACGTTAGAAATGAGCTCTTTGGTACCCGCGCCCTATGAAACAATAGCGTGCACGTCACCGGCCGTTTTCAACGCTAAATCCGAACGACCCACTTCCCCAACGACGTCAATATGCAGTGTACGAATCCGCCAAGATGGTTACGTCGGTTCGCCAGGTAAAAAGCTAAGCATGGAAAATATGGGCAACGCCGTATCGCCAAGTCCCCCACCTCCTGCCCCTTGGGATGTGTGCGGTACGTTTCGAGTATCCCAAGTAACGGTAATTCCTGGGCCTCAGCCGGCTCCCAGTCCTGTCTTCCTTGGTGCCTCATCCGAAGCGCCCACCATGTCAATTACAAATCAAGACCATTCAAGATTAAGTCCGAGAACACCACATTCGCCTAAATCACCTAGAACTTCACCAAAACGTAGCAAATCCAACATAGTAGCGGCAAAATCCGATTCCGGCTTATCGTCAATGAGCGGATGGTCAAGTTTAGAAAAATCTCCAGGTTTGTCTCATCGACAATAGAATCTATTATCATTATACTCGCTTTTTTCAGATATTACAATTAATAAGCAACAAATTTTTCATCGGGCCGTCTCACCATTACCAACAGAAATGCAAAATTCCACGGCACAGCAAAGTAGTGCGTATGCAGAATCCGACACAGACTCCTTTGTTAAAAACCCACAACATCAAGACAATAACACCATCCTTCCTGGTGGCCACCACATGTCGGCGTTTACAACGGTAAAGTCCCCTTGCACTTTGGAATCTTCGGGTAACTTCGTTCCGGCGCCGGCTCCCGCGTCTGATATAAACGTCAGTCCGAGAGCAAAGTCGAAGCACCACCACAACAAAAGTAGCGCCTACGGTGACCTTCCATCGTATAGATTAGAACAACCGGCCATTTACTCCGTGGCCGGTAGCAACAGGCAAGAATCCTACACTTCTGTGTATACGGGGAACAATACAGATTACATTAGCCACAATGTAAATTATCCCGACCTCATAGAGCCTTACGAACACAACGAACTTAGTAACGTTATTCAGAGACAGTTGTCTATGCCTACCGAACAAGAGACAACGAAACTGGTACACTCGCACTATAGGAAACCGAGCCTGACTAGGGCGTACTCGACCGGAAGCGGCCCGTCTAGCGATGGAATTACCACTCATGACGGTTACAAAACGGCGATGCATCGCACTATGTTTCCAACGGGTAATATAACAGATGCGCTGTCTTATTACCCAACATCGGGCCGATACGAATCCGCGAACACTCACACAACGTACACAGACTACAGAGATCCATCAATTTGGTTAAGTACAACCGACGGACAAATACCTCTAGACAACACGAGCACGTCGAGTTCCTTACGTTCGGCCGATACGGCAGAAAGCGAATACACCAATAGCCCATATACGGACCGCCGATACAGTCACACGCAAGTACTTCAACGACCAAACGAGCAAAGGCAATACCAAATCAACCAACACCAAGTGGGGGACCTTACAAAGTCGGGTAACCACCGACAGGAGATTCCGTACCTAGAACTCGATCTCAAAAACAAAAACGTGCCCGAGTATATCATTCAACAGCAACAAAACTCCAACCAACTCTACGACGCGAACGTAATCATGAGTCAATCCGGTTACATAACGATCACCTCCGACATGCACAAGCTGAATAAGGAGCAAAAGGCGAACAAAAAGTTGAAAAGAGGCAACACGCTGAAATCGGCTATGAGTTCGGTTAGTCACTGGTTACCAGACCTACACCTAAAAAAGCGAAATCGCTCCTACTCGCTCCCTTCGGATGACCGGGATGAGTTTAAAGATAAAAATAAAAACGTAACCAAAACGCACACGGGCACTACCCCGAGGAAAAAGAAGAAAAACGTACTCGTATCCACAGTATCGGGAATCATACAGAAAGCTAAACGAAAACACAACTATCACATGCACTCCCTTTCCGATCCAGAACAATCGGAAAACGAGTGGGTTATCGGTCGCGCCAGTTCGGTTGTGTCCGAGGATGACAGAAGCGACGACAGCTTCAGCGTGCTTTCCGAGTGTCAATCTGAGCGCGAATCCCTATTTCCCAAAGTAATTACGAACAAACCCAGAGCTGTGCGCAAACCAAGCCACCACGATGTCCTACAGAAGGACGAGGAGGAAGAACTGGCATCGCAATTCGATTACATCCGAAAGCAGTCCTTAAAGGAGCCGTGCGAGCCTGACGTAGCGAGTTATACTGAGAACGACGAGTCGGGTAAGAGCGAGAACGAGTCGAATCTTTTCGCGACGATCGGCGACTCGAAGAGGGCGCCGTCGATTTCCGACAAGAGCGATGATTCGATTACCAGCGAGGGTAAGTTTCCGCAAGTTTCTCTCGGGGGTGCGTCGATGGAGTTCGCGGTGTCACGCGCGTTGGGGAAATATCGGCAGAGACAGTCCTCGACGACGTTCGACGATCAGGTTTTGTCGGACGAGTCGACCGAGAGGATTGAGGATGTGATGGAGATGGCGGCGGTTAAGGAGGTCATCGCGGTCGAGGAGAGTAAACCGGACGTGATTTTGAAGGAGCAGAAGTCCGTGGAGTTTTCTGTGAACGGGACGAAGGTGTCGAATGGTGAATCGATCGTCGAGAGTAGTCCGTCGACGACGAGTTTGAGGGGACACATAAACAGAGCGTTTCCTAGGCATCAGCAGAGCTTAGAAATTCCGGGTTATCGGGAGGACGACGATAATCGCAGCACCCACTCGTGGCGTAGTGGCTCCAGGGTGTCTTCGAGGCGACAAAGTACGGAGGACAGCATCGATAGTGAAGACGAGTGGTACTGTTACGAATTGAGGAAGCTGGAGGAAATGGAACGTCAGTCCTTGCTTGAGATAGAAATGGGCGAGACCTTGGAGGAGGTGCCTGAGATTGAAGATACGTTTGAACCCGACGAGGATGTGAAGGAGAGAATGTCGTTTGTACTGAGAGAGTTGAGGATGAAAGCGAGGGTCTTAGAGGGTGTTCTGGATGAACAAGATAATAATCGACAAGTTCTCATGTCCGCTAAACACCGAAGTAGTCGCAAATCGTCACTGGCCGAAGTTGACGAAACACAGCCAACGAGTGAACCCGAAGAGTACTACGAAGAAGAGGATGAATACAAGAGAAGCGAACGTAGATCTGATGACGAGCGATCTTCTGGAGAAACCTCGGGTCCTGACAGTCCTCGTCACAGCATAGAGGAGTACGAGGAAGAGGAAGACGTAGTGCTCGAATTTGCGAAATGTCACCTAAGAAATTCCGGGCAAGAGGATCTGCAATTGCCAATCCCTGAAATCCCAATCGAGGAGGGTGTAACTGAAAGTGAAAGTGTACAAAACAGTGTAATTGAAGTGCCACAAATTACGATCGATAGTACATGTTCGAAGGAAGAATCGGCGAAAGATACGGGCCCGCTCGGCAGCAAATGGAAGCTGTTGAAGGCGCTGAAGGAACGAAAGGCCGAAGAAAAGAGCATACAGGGAAAATCTCCAGAAACCCCGAGCGAGAAAGATAAAGTAAGTATGCTAGGGATGATGCAAAAATTCTATGAAATTCATGTTAAAACTTAGAGTAGTTTTTAATGTTAAAACGATTGTATGACAAGAACCGAGCATTTGAACGTAGAAATCGCCTTCGCACAATAATATCACTTCAGGAAGTAGCTCCTAGGACACGTAGAGAAGCTTTTTTAGGAAAATTAATGTACGTACGTAAATCTGCTGCTTCACTTGGCGTTTTGATGTAACGTAAAACACCGCATTCCATACTAATACATACGGTCAATTCATTGCCTTTGATATCTACAATAATAGTAATAATAATAATAATTTTCTTGAAGTTTGACGAAAGCAGTTGCATACTTTTATACAAAAAAATCTCATATCATTGTCATATCATTAAACCGCCCCTTGTTCATTCGTCATATCATGAAAAAACGTAAGACCATCTAAAACATGTCTCATAAAGTACAAAAAAAAAAGTGTTTAATTTCTAGTAGCTAGCGATAAGATCTAAGGTGTGGATGTGTGAGTTACCATGTCGTTTTTTCATTCTTTTGATGATATAATGTAAATTACACTCACTTATTTTTCCTTCCGTCGTGCCCGGATTCATGTAATGGTTTTAGGTAGACTTTTATCTACCTATTGTAATGGTACGCGTATATTTATAAGTTTATAGGTTTATATACATCACTTCCAAGAAACACTTTAACTTGCGTAATTATGAACTGATTTCGACAAAGTCTAGGGTTGGTTCATAAATATCTCGATCAAGTTCGTGAACCAGCGAATTCCACCATATGGGAACAAAATGGCGGACACTTTAAAGAAATCTACCTACACTGAGCCGAAAGGGACAAAACAAATTGCATAATTAAGGGGTAAGGGATGTATTTTAGACAAGAAACTTCCCGAAATATTCCAAAATATATTGTGGTTTTTCGTATACTGTTTCGAAATTGTTTGAACAGAGTTGTGAAAACACACTTTTTGGTTGCCACACAGAGGCACGAAAGGGTTTTCAATTTGAAGTCTCATTCTAATAGTTTGAATATCTCAAAACGTTAAGGGCACAAAAATCGTATGGTAACACAAGATGATCACAAAATCATTGTACTGCTAATAACTTGATATTTCGATATATCGAGAAAAATGGTTTTATTAAACACATTTTGGTATAAACTCAAGGATGCTATATAATATAATAGTGTACAGGGTGGCCCAACCAAAACGAAACAGACTGAATAACTCGTTTGAGGAAATAGTTTTTGAAAGAAACGCAAAAACACGTCGATTTGGGTTGGGAGGGGGGCTGCTTTTATTTCAGAACTTACACTCCTGCTGTCAACCCCCTGCGCAGGGTTGCCATCTTCTTTTAAATTGAACGTTGGGTCGAGAGATACATTATTGAAAAGGGCTCTCAATTTCCTACACGTCTATGGTTTATTTTTCAAATGTAATCGAATCGTGTGTAGGATACATACATGGTGTCAAATGATAAATAATTCAAATAGATTTCCTCTCTTTCTCCCTGGTTTGTTTCTAATTTGCCAATCTTCAGGAGAACCAAACAACCAAGCAAATATGTCGCACCCCTCCCCCCTTTGCATTACCCATCACTTACAGCTCAAAAAGTCATCTAGTTATAATTTAGGCTCCTCATATGATCCAGTTGCTGTAAATTAAATAGTTTTTCATATTGCCGCTGTTTCTATTCTTAAAAGCAAGGGGATTCGTGAAATAATATAATATCCGTCTCTGTATTTTCCAGCACACTTATTTTAATGATTCACATCTTAATACTTGGCCTCTTTCCAAGCACGAGTTAAATGAAATACTTTAGTAATTAGGGGAAAAGTTAATTAAATGCCAGTAATATCTACAATTGATGAGATAATTATGATGCATAAGCGCCGCCACCTGAGGCTTGTTTCCCACGTTTAGAGCGTAATTTTAGAAATGAATCAAAGGCATGGTAACAATACCTATCCACTGAAAGTTTTAAGCGCAATTACATTTCACATTCTAAACTTTGTGTCGGTACATCATTTAACTAAATTCGAAAGACAGAAGTCTTTTATTACCCTTACGATGCAGGTCAAGTAATATGGATCGAACCCTTGAAGCAAAGAACTAAACTTCTTTCACCTTTTTTCTATAATTCCAACTTTCAATATAACGAAAGTAGTATCAGAAATGTGATTGCGTAAAATTCAAATAGATTAGAATACTGCCCTCAACGCTTGCTTGACTTTTATATTCAACAGATAAAAAATACACGTCCTCCATTTTTTCCCTTTAATTCGTCCGTTCTACACGTAGGTATATAAAATGCCATTTGAAAAGCCGAGCCCTTCGGGACGAATTCTTTTTTTTTTTTAATTGAATTTCGAAAGCAAAGTGGTCGCTCCTTTAAAAATCCGCCACTGGCCCTTCAATTTTAGATATTTTTAGTAAATCGGGAAGTGCCAAATTAAATCTCCCACCCTTTTGTTGCTTTTGTGTGAGAAATTTTGACAATCCACTCGTATACCTTTTCATACCCTTTTAAAGTGCTGTAGAGTATAAAGCTCAAGCTGGTTTGAAAGAAACTGAAGCTCTGGATGTAAGGTCTAAGGTTATATAGTTTTAATTGCGACAACTTTAATTGGTGACGTATATTTAAGTAGTTAGTAGTGCAAAATAAACAAAAAAAGCACTATTGTTTGATGCTTAAACGTAACTATGTCTTTGTTTAGCAGTATTAATTGTATACGCTTATAGAGGATGCTAAAACTATGATGGTACCTACTCGTATACATCCCGATGTGGTTAATGAGTTTATTTATGTCTACATTTATTGTTATTACTAAGGTTGTGTCATTGTATGTTATCGAAATAAATATATTTTTATATTTTTTTTATATGTTAAAGTGTAACTCATGTACATGTTTTGTTGATTATCTATTTATGTTACTTTTTTGTTTTTTTAGAATGGCAGCGGCATTGGTGGAGATTCCGGTGGACGACTCAATGGGTAAGTGTTTTGTTTTTACATTTTGCATGAACATTCGATTCCATTATTACACTACTATTCTCATTTTTGTTTGATTGGAATTAGATAAATGATTTCTCCGAAAAATCCGAATCTTCCTTGTTTAATTTCGCAATCTATAAAGGGAACGTGTAAACGTCGCAATCAACGTTACCATTAATTTAATTGTGTCACTGCACACATTTCAGAATTCATTCCCTTTTCATAGTTTAATTGGTACCTACCTCAAAGCGGAAATTAAAGTGTTAAATTCTCTTTTAAGTTTCAACCCTAGTTTGCTTAGATGAAACTCATTTAACTGCCAATTTTATTTTATTTCAACTGCTAATTTATTAACTGTACGATGAATTAATTATTTAATTCGGTTACTGTGTAGATTTAGGTGAATCCTGAAACACATTAAATTTAAATTACAAATTGACAATCGTCAACGTGAAAATGTGATACATACCTTTAACCCCCCCTTGAGTAACATTTACAACCTTCGTGGGCTTGTGATATATCGTTTGAAAGGTTTCTTTATTATCTACACAAAAATATCGTATTTTTTAACGCCGCCTTTTTGGATAGTGGTACGAATCTCCCTCCTCCTTATCACCCTTTATCTCCTCATTCCAATAGTCTCTGACGGCTCCTAGCACAACCGGAATCGTAACAATTTCTTTATAGATTTTTTTTGTTTTGAAATTTATCATATACATAATATGGTCCTTCGAGCCTGATTTTTTATTGGAAAGTGGAAGTCACGCTAACTTTCTTCTTTAGATTTTAGTTGTCGCTTGAAATAACCCCTTGCCAAATGTGACACTACGAATTTTTTCAACTAGTAGCAAAGTGTACGGAAGCGCGAGTATAGTTATCATGGAAGAGTTTTTTTGTTATAAATTAGTTATGAAAATTTAAGTAAAATGAAACAAGAATGTTTTAGATGAATACGCGAATTTTATGCATATGACAAAACCTACCACCAGTTAGAAGGGTTACTCGCCCAATTCTTTTGAAGTCGTAATGGTTCTCTTCATGAAAAAAGTGGGTGATGCTCTATACGCCACATTGCATACAGGGTCCTGGACAGCCAGAGGACTATGCGACCGTTTTAATAATCTATTGTATTTGTCGTTGAAAAAGTGCTAAAATTTCAAAGAAAACGCGTTGAAATGCTATGAATTCTTGCAGTTTCCACTGCCATTCCGAACAATTTAAGACCACAACGAAGAAAATTGGTGCCATAAATGGCGCGCAATAGCGATTGTAGTGTTTTCGTTTCACTTAGGCCCTTTCTACCGCTGTATTCGGTGAAGCAAGCGGGAGAAATGGGCGAACTTTCGGAAAATACTTACCTTATATTTTGACACCTCACCAAAAATCAGCTAGTTGCTAATTTTGTCTAATTTTGGGGATTTTTTTGTCTAAACTGCCTGGGATATTAGTGAGAATCATTAAATCGTCGAGTTTGTTTACGGAAAGAATGTCAAAAGAAGTTCACAGTATACATATACAGAGAATTTTTTGTAAATATGTACATATATGGGCGGTGTATACTTAAAAAAATTGCTGTGGCTAGCACAGATACCACCCGCACACCTACGCATGAGCGATTCTGCCAATTTATGTGTAAGAATATGTGTACCAAATTTGCTTCCAATCGGTTCAACCGTTTAGCCGGAAATGAGAGTACAGACGGACCGACAGACCGACATCATCGAGATTTTGTGTGATTCGGATTCTTGGTGTTTCAAAACGTGCGTTTCCATCAAAAAAGTGGGAGGGGGGTCTTTTTTTACCCCCAAGGCAATATCTCCCTTACTAACGTGCAGGTGGTAAAAACGGATCAAATACACAGGAATAGATGGCAATATAATATAATAGGTTCCACGAATTTGTTGCGTGTAATACTAAGTATCATGATTCCATGCGTATGGTCCGTTTTTTTGCCCGCGCGTTAGTAAGGGAGGTATTACATTGGGGTAAAAAATGGCCTCCCACGTTTTTTGACGGAAATACTCGTTTTGAAGCACCAGGAATCCGAATCATCATTATTTTCATTTCCAGCTAAACGGTTGAACCGATCTGAACCAAATTTGGTACACATATTCTCCGATATAAAAGGGCAGAATCGAGCATGTGCAGATGTTCGGATGGTATAATTATGTGCTAGCCACAACAATTTTTTTTAAAGTATACATAGCCCATATGTAGTTGCCAGAAGACCTTCCTAGCTCGAAGCAAATATTTAGCAACAAAAAAATATTTTGGCAGTCTTACATATTATACCTACTATACACTGCCAAAAGTCTTATTAATTTGCTGCATGTACCGTTTTATTACTAACCACTAAATTATTGAAATTCACACAGGAAAATTTTTGTTAATCATTTACAGAATTCAATGTAATTTGGAAAATTTTAGTTTTTAAAATTTTGTTTTTACTGTTAGTCCAGGCTATATAATATTTTTGTATGAAAAAAATTAGTTACCGGGCGAAACCGGGTTTTTCAGGCAGGTGGAATGAATAGAATTTGGGAAAAAATAATTAAAACAGCTGAATTTTTCCGCGGGTGAAATCACGGGGGTTGAAAGGGGTGGAAAGTGGTATTTTGCAAATTGTGGTAAAACTATTGATTTTAGACGAAAATGTTAAATGTAAAAGTTATAGAGATTAAAAAAATGAGCAACTTTTGTATCTGCACTATTTTCACATAACCTCCAATTTTCCTAGAAAAACCGGAAAAACTGTTTTTTTCGTTTTTTATGCTTATTTTTGCGAAAAAATGTCGTAGGGGTTTGAATTTTGGAGGTAACATAGCCTGTTTTATGATAAAACAGAAGATGATGGTTTGGGCCCATAAAGTTGAACCGTTTCCAAGATCTCACGATTTCTGAAAAAAACCACCTCTTTTTCAAGGGGATGAAAAATCTATTTTTTTTCATCGTACAGAGGTGCGCGGGGTAGCAAAATTTTCGGGAAGACATATTTTAATAAACAAAACTAAAAAAATATTATTCCTGTAGCAAAAATTCGAGAAAATCGCCAAAAACCAGAAAAACAGTTTTGAGATATACTTACATAGTTTTTGACATGATAAATCAACATGTTGGATGTTAATTATGATTTTTTCGAAATCTGTCCTCTTCCTTCTTTTTAATGTTTGCATAAATATTCTCTTTTGTTATCTTATGCTCAACTGTTCTAGTTAAAACATCTTGATTATTTCTTTTTTCTGCATTTTTACCGCAATAAAAGCAATTCGAAATAAAATCGAATTATGTATCTTGCTTCCTGATTCTTGAACAATTTATTTTTGTTCACTGACTCTTCTTCCTGCTTGTTTTATAGCTGATGCAATTGCGTTGGGCCTGTTGATAAACTTGCAAAATCTGCAATAAGAACGTTGGTTTTACCGGTCAAAAGCAAATGATTTGAGATGTCAAACCTGCAGGAATAAACTTTGTGAGGATTTTATTCATAATTCCTGTAAATTAACGATCAACAGGCCCAGCTTAATCCCATCAGCTGTAAAACAGGCAGGAAGAAGAGTTAGTGAACAAAAACATTGTTCAGGAAGCAAAAGAATTCGATTTTACTTCGAATTGCTTTTAGTGCAGTAAAAATGCGCAGAAAAAAGAAATAATAAAGATGTTTTAATTAAGGCAGTTGGGCACTGGGAAACAAAAGGAAATATCTTAGCAACATTAAAGAGGAGAGAGAAGACAGATTTCCAAAACTTTTTATTAGCGCGGATCCAGCACGTTAATTTATTTGCAAAGAGCCTACTGTCAAAAACGGTGTATCTTAAAACTGTTCCCCCCGTTTTTGCCGCTTTTCTTGAAATTTTTCTATTGGAATAATATTTTTTATTTTTGATGATTAAAATGTAAGTCGTTACGAAAATTTTGCTACCCCGTGTAGATACAAAAGTTGCTCATTTTTTTTAATCTCTATAACTTTTACATTTAAAATTTTCGTCTAAAATCAATAGTTTTGACACAATTTGCAAAATACCACTTTCCACCCCTTTCAACCCCCGTGTCATTTTAGAGCTATTTAGCCTGGACTATGTTTTTTTAATAAAGCCTGGCACGACTGTAGGTACATAGAAATACCTTAATAAAAATTTTAAATTTTAAAATTGCTTTGGAAAAAAAAGTTCGATGCCGTTGCGGCGCTCCAAAATTTATTTTTAAAAATTAGGCCCTCTATTTTTCGTTTCCGTATGACTAATATACATATTCAAAATTTGAACCGAATCCGTCGAGCCGTTCCCTCGGAAAATTGCCAACTACGTACGTACATGCAGACGGAAAAATATTTTATTCTTTAAATGTTGCTTAAAATGATGTAAAAGGTTGGAATTTTGACATGGCCAAAAAACGGTGATCGCAATAGCTACCTAGCTCATGCTACAATAAAAATTCCTTGTATACCTGGCAATAATATTGCGAATTGCATAGACGCAACGTAAGGTAAAATCAAATCATTACTCATCTATTTTGAAGGTTAACCGGGGTGAATAATTTGAAAGCATTGACTACACTGGTTTGATAAGAAAATGTAACGCTTCTTTCTGTAGGTAAACTTACGTATAATTTAGTTGCAAGTTAGACATGTTCAGTGCGAGTTGGCACCTTCTCGCGAATATTATTTAAAAGCTGTTCCAGGTAAGCGTAACAAATGATATTAACAAAATGAGCCACCACAAACGTCAAATCCAAATTCATTATTAAACCCATGCTAACTATGTTCCAATTTACTGTACTATATTTACGTTTTGGTGGCACTAGACTAAAATTTGTTATAACAAACCAGGCCCGTAGCCTAGACCTAGAACGTGGTCTTGCCCCCACTGGAAATTGTGCTTGATGGTTCCTTTACGAAAATTACAAGGGTAGTATTTATGAAAAAGTCTTAAGCGCCACCTAGAATTATTCAAATATCACAGATCAACAAGCTCTAATAACAGGTCAACTGCTTAACGAATAAG